GGGCATATACTGAGAATGGATGAGGATCGCTTTGTCCGCCGAGTACTTCTCGACTCATCCCCCTGTACTGCTCCATTTACGCCGGGATCTCTCTTAGCTGACACAGCGTTCACGACCATTAATGACATGATCAGAGCTTCAGCAAACAGGGATATATGGGATAGTTTTCGCCCGTAAAGCAAAAAATAAAATAAAACTAAAACTGAAATAATTTTTCTTATGCTATTTATATTTATTTATCTTCTGAATTTGAGAGTCTGTACAGTTGTTGCTTGCCCCTTTGGGGATTATGCAATGAGAAGAAGAAGATATACAGTATATATATGTATATATATAAATATGTATATATGTATGTGTGTGTGTATATGTATATGACTTGACTTGACTTTATTTGGCGTCATAAAAAGAACGGTATATACATTACAGATAAAATACATAAAATCGATAAAAAGTTCATAAAAAAAAAGAGACATAAAGGATGCCCGAAACGCCCGTAAAGTCCAAAGACTTATTTCCAATGGGGTCCGTTGACAATTAAGACAAAACAACAAAACAAAATTTACATAAAAACATCTTCTTCAGTTTAACAATTATTTAAGAATTTTTAAAGTTTTATTTTGAAAGTATTGAGGACTAGACAAGATTTAATTTCCAACGGCATAGAGTTCCAATTTTTTTTATAGCATTAAAAAAGAAAGTTTTAGATGCCACCGAAGTAACGTACGGTATTCTAAAATTAAGGGAGCTATGTCTTGTTTTATAATTGTGGTTTATTCTTTTGAAGTTTTCTTTTAGATAAACTGGACAAGTATTTTGAGAAACGTGACATAAGCGAAGAAATTTAACTTTATCTTGAACGTTAAGAATACCAATTTCAGATAATTGTCTTTGGCCAATATGGGACAGTGGACCTAAATTTTTAATAAACCAATCATTTTGTTTTGAGTTGTTTGCATTCTAATCATTAGTTTCTTCTCTATACCTGAAAACCATGACGATGAAGCATAGTCAAATAAAGGTTGTATTAACGACATGCATAACGTTTTTGCTACAATATGAGTCAAGGCACGAGGCTTTACGGTAGAGATATTTTATTCTTGAGTTAGCTTTTGTGATAACTTTTTAGCAATCGAGTTACCAGTAACATGCTTGTCAATTTCTATGCCGAGATATTTAACAGTTTCTTTTGCTTTAAATACATTTCCAGGGCATTCAATTTGGGCATTCTCTAGTTGTTTTTGTTTGCTTTTGCTACCAAACAGTATGTATTCAGTTTTACCCAGATGTACGGAAAGCCTGTTTTCACAGAGCCATTCCCTACACCTGCCTAAAACTATGCTGAGTTTGTTGGATATTTGTTCCGGATCTTTATGGGAAAATAAAATAGCACTGTCATCAGCATATAATAGCAATTTGCAAGATAAGTCAATACATGTTATCATATCATTTACGTAAATAAGAAGAAGCAAAGGCCCCAATACACTACCCTGGGGGACACCGTATGTAACCTTTGCTAGTTCAGAACTAACCCCGTTTACTTTGACAAGTTGTGACCGGTTTGATAGATTTGATTTAAACTATGCATGTGACTTAACTCCAATCGATTTAAGTTTATTACAAAGAATTCCATGATCCATGTGTCAAATACTTTTTGAAGGTCCAAGAGGACCATTCCAGTAAATAAACATATTGACATTTTATTCTTCAGGTGGTCCAAAAGATGGATAAGACAAGTATTTGTTGAATACGATTGTCTAAATCCAGATTGGAATTCAAATAATAGATTATTATATTTCAAGTAATTTTACAGTTGATCATACACAGTTCTTTCAAGAATTTTTGAAATACAGCTAACAATACTGATTGGTCTAATAGTTCCCTACATCGGTGCGATCATATTTTTTTAAAACAGGCGTAACTCTTGCCATTTTAAAATCATCAGGAACTCTATTGGATTCAATTGAAAGATTCACAATGTGTGTTAATGGGGATTTTTAAAATAGAAGACCCATCTTTGAGAAATCTTGGAGGGACATTGTCCAGGCCACAACTTTTATTTGGGTTTAATCCATTTAATTGTTCTTCAATATACTCCTCATCAATTTTTTGGAGAACGAAGGGGTTTGATTTATCAATTTTGTTCTTGTAGAAATTTTGAAAATTTTGATTTTCAGTTGGACATTTATCACTAGCGTAAGGCAAATTATTGACTAGGTTAGATGCAACATTCGTAAAAAAAGAATTCATATGATTAACATTGTCTTTAATATCAAAAGAGAGTTTGCCATCAATATTTAAAGAAATATTTTGTTTAGTATTATTTATATCTTTAAATCCCAACTTCTTTAAAATTTGCCAGAGTTTAGAAGGATTGCTCTTATTATCATTAAGGCTATTCATAAAGTATTTTGACTTGGCTTGTTTGATTATTCTTTGAATTTTGTTGCATATTTTTCGAAATTCTTTAAGATAATCATTATTGGTGATCCGCTAACGTTAGCGGATCACCTCTTGTTATTGTCAGGATCATCATCTTCATCTTTTTTTTATTCTTCTATCTTTCTCCCCTTTTCTGTTCGCACGATATCTCGAAAAATGCCACGAGTTACGCACAATCGCTGTCAGTGAACATTTGGCTTGGTCTGGAATAGTCATGGTAAGCTTTTCAACGTGCTCAGTCATGCGTGACGTCATCTACGCGCAAATTTGCGTTTTTACATTATTGATCATATCAGCCTAACCAATTGCCATTTCGAAATCGTATTAAGTGAGCATTAACTTCGGGTTAATGTTGAATGTACTGTACCCTAATTTTACGCGTGCGGTTTATATCGCGCGCACGCGTGCGTCAAAATTTTAAAGTGCTCGAAATCACTTTTTAACTAACTTAGAGCACGTTTTAGGCCATTTTGAGCATTTCAATTTTTTTTTTTAATTTTCCACTACGCACGCGCATTTTCACGCGCGCAGCACGTACGGAAGCTAGACACTATGTTTTTTCACATAGTTTGGGTTTCTGACATTTTTTTCACAAACTTCCATTCTTTTCGGTCGTCTTTTCCATGGCCAATAGCAATGCCGTACGTGCGCATCAAATATAGGTATCTTTGAGCGGATTTGTGCCGATATACAGTGAAAATATGCTAAAATCAAACCTATTTTTAATCAGTTATAGCTCTTTAGGTTGAAAGGTGACCCCCAATATTTATTACATATTCTGAAAGCACATAAGTTGTAAATATGATTTTATAGATCATAATGGCTGATCGGATATTGTGACGTCATCATATTGGCATCTGAATTCAAAGAAAGTGAATTATAGCTTACACATCTAGGTGTGATTTGAGCGTATCTCGCTTATCCTTGATCGATCGTCTTCCAACTTTGAGTATGTTATAGCTGAGACAATTCTCTTTCATATATTTGACTTCTTTTTACATTTTGATGACATCATCATGTTAAAAAAATTGTTTTTTCTGACCCCCCACATCTTTCTTTCCTCAAAACGTTGATGAGCCCATATCATCTTAACCATTTGTCATTTCTGGATCATATTAAGTGAGCATAATCTTCAGGTCAAGGTTGAATGTCAGGTACCTTAATTTTCCGTTCACGCGACTTAACATGCTTGCGTCAACGTTTATATATGCATAAAACCATGAATATTTTTAATCAGTTATAGCTCCATAGGATGAAAGGTGACCCCCAATTTTTATTACATATTCTGAAAGCACATGAGTTGTAGATACTATTTTATTGATCATATTGGCTGATCGGACATTGTGACGTCATCATATTGCCATTTGAATTAAGAAAAAATTGAATTTTTATTTATGACGTTATTACTTTTTATACTCGTTTGAACGTACTCGCTTATCTTGATTGATTGTCTCCCACCTGTGAGTATGTTATAGCTAAATCAATTCTCTTTCAGACGTGTCCCTTTATTTTTTATTTTGATGACATCATCATGGTCAAAAAGAATGCTTGTTTTTTAGCCTTCTCATCTTTCTTAAAAGATGTAAACGCATTGAAAATAGAGGGTGGCAGACTGTATTTCGACACTATCAGACCGATAGTTCGTATACTGTAAAGGCAAAATTCGTGTGGCATTACCAACCAACAGGGGGTTTTAATTTAAACTTGACAAGGTTTAAATTTATGTGCCAATACCGTCGTCAGGCACGTTGTATAAGGTATTCGTACTTGTGCGTTAAAATTTTAAAATTGTTAATATCACTTTTCAGATAATTTAAAGCACATTTCAGGTCATTTTGAATATTCCAAAACTTTTCAAAATTTACGCGCCGTACGCTCATTTCCACGCCCACAGCACATACTAAAGCTGGAAATTACGTTTCGGTTACATGTGTTGGGTTTGTGACACTGTATTAATACTACCATGCGCACGAACGTTAAGACGTATGTGTACACATTCGTAAGTCCTTAAAATGCTCAAAATTACTCTTTTCCTTTAAAATTCATTTTAAAAAAATGCTCAAAATTACTCTTTAAATAAAGCATGTTTTAGCATATAATACTTTTTAATCAGAACCGTGCGTGCTTCGTGAGGGTCAAAGTACGGCGGATCACCTAACTCGTCCTCAGTGACGAGTTCAAATCTAGTTATTTCTGTTTTTATTTAGCCTATTTTTTAATTTGTTTTTTTCGTTAATATTATTTAATATATCAGCTGTTATCCGGTCTTCTGTTTTTTGTTTTATTCTTACTAGTTTCAAAGGGGCAACATTATTTACCAAATTCATAAGTATTCTAACAAAATTTTTCCAAACCACATTAAGATCAGATACACCAATCACCTCAGACCAATCAATTTGTGAAAGAGTATCAACAAAGTATTTTTGACAGTAATTTTTTAATGACCTAAGGTGTATGTTTTTATGCAAATTGAATTTGATTCTAATTTTTTTTTTTAGTGCAAAAGATCATATGATGATCACTTATGCCAATTTTAATTACTCCAGAATTTGAGATACTTTTTCTATTGTTACATAAAATATGGTCAATAGTAGTAGTATGGCGGTCATCAGACAACTGGCAGCCTTAGGTTATTACTTGATGTTATACCCATTTGTCACCTGTTTTTTTCCCTTTCATAACGGGATGTTCTTGTCGGAATAGATCAGGTTAAATGGTTCCATGGCGTAGGATACGGCTAATATTGAATAAAGTGCTCAACTAATTTTTTTCGAAAATAAATGAAGTGTTTTACAGTCTACATGCCTTGTCATAATTTTTTGTTTCAACGACTTATTTATATGTATGTGTATGTATTGTTTCTTGTTATTCCTAGATATCAGCTGGACGTAATCATTCTGCTGCCTGGACGGCCCCTCCTGTACCCCAGCGCACCCCTGGTAGTGCCACACAGATACAGCTAGGTATGTGGTTTTTTATGTGTTTTTTTTTGTTTGTTTTTTTTTACAAAGTCTATTTCATAAATATTTATTTGAGCTATGAGCTAATATATATGGTCTATTTCGTGAATACTTAACCTGGATGAGCCAATATAAGCCAGATTCCTAATGGAACTTACCCACAAAAAATAATGGAATCGTCTAACCCAGAGGTGACGGAACTAGGGGGTGCTGTGTTATGGAGAGTAATGTGTGACCGAAAATGGTCTGCATCAGTTGGTTGTTACCATGCGCCAGTGATAGTACAGCAAGATGAAACTATTATGTAGGCCAAATGAATAAAGTTCGGAGTTTGTCGGGTAGTGAAATGATTATTGTACATTTTAAGCGCTAGCTAAATTCATAAGTGTAAGCTAAATTACAGTGACTAATTTAGTTAGCGAACAATTATTTCGAAGTTCCCTCTTTCCAAGAGGGGATGCAAATGCTTTGTGAAAATGAGTACGCCGCGGTACTCATTTTCACAAAGAAATACACACAACTGGTTAGCTAACAATATGCCAATACATGAACCTGGGAAGGAAGGTTCAATCACGTTGCTGCCCAGCAAACGTCTGTACTCTATGGGGGGGGGGGGAAGCGCTACTGATGTACTGTGTAGCGGATGACGATGAGGCATACATAATAAGACTAGTGCTAGGCCTAGGCCTAACTAGGCAGTGCAATAATATGTGATAGAAAGTACACTTTTGAAAGAAATAGATTAAAATAAATAAAAACAAAAACAAAAACAAATATTACTAAGAATAATTCAGTTGCAGAGGTACCTTGTACATATTATACAATGCTATAACAATGCGGCTCTTGTATCCCTAGCTAGGACAAGGCATCTATGTGCAAAGCAGTGGTGTTTGTTTATCCATGAAAAAAGCACCCCGGGATAGTTTGCCTTACCAGGAAAAAGCGACGTAATCTAGCTTATGACGTATTCATGCTAACAATATTGTGAGTGTGACGTCACCAAAAAATGAATATTTTCTATTATAACCAAAATATTAATAACTACAAGGTTTCTGGGCGTAAATTCCCTTAATACGAAGTAAGGGTTGCACAATCTCCTTGCCATACAAATTACAGCTCCCACTGACGTCTCAGTCGAGAAATACTGGTAGCTGAAGTTTTTCTCGCAAATCTGACTACGAAACCATATCCAAACACGTTCCACTTTTGACCCTGGTTTGTGCTTCGCACTCTTTCGCTGTGAGCGAGTGAAGAGAGTCTTACCTTGTGAAAGGGAACAATAAGCTACATGCTTTCCTTGTTGTTTAATAACCTTTTGTAGCAGGATGTCTTCCCGGAAGTAGTCTTGCTCAGTTTGTGGTGAGCTTAGGCCTAGCCCAAAATTAGATCGTCTCAATGGAGTGCCCTTTGTGCCAATCGTGTTTTCGGGGTGGCCCCACATGTCGGTCCCTTATCCGGGGTCCGGGGATAGTATTGGTACCCCGATGGCTGTCTCTGACGATGAGTCAGAGATGGACCTTCTGGGTGGGTTACAGGCCAGGGCGTGTAGGGTTATGCCTGCAGTCATCTCGCATTTGGGGGTCGCATTTGACCTTCTGTCAGCCCCTGCGGCTGATGAGCCTCCTTTTTTGGGGCTTGCCGCCACAGTCTAAAGGCCCTGTTCGCAAGCCTGCGCCTCGGGCGCTATGTGAATAAACTAACTATATCAACTTTAAAAAAACATCCTTAAAAATATTACCGTAAGAAAGAATAAGTGCATCTTATATTTATGCTAGCCACCATTTCAGTCTTAAACAAAATACTTTGGTTTTTATATATCTAATTTGCTTATAATCTTCGGTACTTCAGGTTATCCTGATTGTGTGCCAGCACGCTTCAATGGATTGCAGGATTGCTCAATTTTATCAATTCGAGCTCGACTTCGAATTTTACACCACTTCTCCGACCTGATGTACTCATCGTGGAGACTTCTGCATTTAAACCCACAGCAGGTAATGTTGTCCATAATTTATTCGGAAACAAAACGACCTTAAACATGCAATACATTTTTTTGAGATGCTTTTTAGTAACAGCAATGATAATTGAATTATCTTTTAACTTAACATATTTAACTTCTCCGTTCAAAGGTCAAATTGGGGACATATAACATTGGAGTAAGCGGTCTTCTAGATGGTCACCTGCGACCATTACTTGCCCCAAGAGTGTACACATTACCCATGGTGCGTTCAATTGGTCGGACTATGGTTCAGGGGAAGAACTACGGCCCACAGATTACAGTCAGAAGGCTGGCTACACGGTAAGTAAAGACTATGCACACAGTCACAAGTCACAATAATTAAAATCATCTCTAGTGTTTAAAGCAGTAGATTATTTTTAGTTCCTTTGTGACCTCAGGTCACATGGAACTAATGTAATGGTTCACATGTAAAATGTGTGTATGAGATGTGACACCAAAAGAGGTCAGCATATTTGTAAACAAATAGGCTCCGAAACGGTGCATAGCG